ATAGCGTATGCTCTGAGTGTCACGAGCAGGTATCAGGCGGATCCAGGCTTGGAGCACTGGAAAGCAGTAAAGTGTATCCTTAAGTACTTGAGAAGGACTAAGGATCTTTTACTAATATATGGAGGTAATAGCCTTAAGGTTGAAGGCTACACAGACTCAAGTTTTCAGTCTGATGTCGATGATAGCAAGTCGAATTTAGGGTATGTGGACACCTTGAATGGAGGAGCAGTGTGCTGGAACAGTTCCAAGCAAGATAATATTGCTGACTTGACCATAGAGGTGGAGTACATTGCTGCATCAGATACAACAAAGGAGGGAGTCTGGGTGAAGAAGTTCATCATAGATTTGGGAGTCGTGCCGGGTAGCGAGGAGCCGATCTCCTTATATTGCGACAACTATAGGGCGATTACTCAAATAAGGGAACTCGAGTCTCATCAGAAGTATTCTGAGGAGGTTCCAGCTTATCAGAGAGATCGTAACCCGAGGAGATGTAGTAGTGGAAAGAGTTCCATCCGAAGATAACATTGCAGATCCACTGACAAAGCCGTTGTCTCATATTGTCTTTGAGCGTCACAGGGGTCTGATGGGGATCAGACACATAGGTGATTGGCTTTAGGTCAAGTGGGAGATTGCTAGTCATAGGTGCCCAACAAGCCAATCACGTGAGTGATGGCACGTGTGACTTGATACAGAATCATTTTGCTTATTATATTTTGGCGTATATCACTTTATAACTATTACATATGTGTATATATATATTGTGATGTCCTTGGATTTGTTCAATGGGAATCGGATCGTGATGAGATCACGATAATGAGATCGATTCACCTTTAAACACAGATCCTAAATAATCCCAGTCATAGGTTATTTGAGAGGGACATCGTGATAACCGGACAGACTTGTGTGCTGTACACCCGTTCATATGATGGATGCAGCTGGTCTCATAGCTGCTCATGTAGGGACACTAGGGATACAATACAGGTGCTCATTGGAGAATGAGTTCACTGATTGATCTGCTTACGGAATGTTGGATGGTTGATGATGCCTTATTGTCAGACAGCGATTTCGTAGTCCTAGTGGTGTATCTGGTCCTTAGACTTGAGACACCAAGGATGTCCTGTATGAGTGCTCTACTCTTTGATACTATACTTATAGGTTTGGCTATCCCAGATCTAGTACAGCTGGTCATTGGGAGTGCTAGTCGACCTTACGAGGTATTGATTGTCGATAGAGGATCATCCACTCTCGACGTCATGAGAGGAATATCCCATGTGTTCTTGCTCAGACAAATCCCTAACCAGGGTCATTCGGGTTGAGAGAGAAAGGTTTCTCCGGGAGAATCCGATTAGAGCGAGACTCGAGTAGAAACCGTATGGGTCTGATAGCACTATGCTCGATATACGGTCTCTGAGATATTAGATGGATGAGGGACTATAGGTACACGATAACTGAGGACAGACAGGTGCAATGGATTGGATTCCCCTATATCGTATGGGGACTACGTCGTAGTGGCCTAGTACGTCCGTAGTCGATAAGTCGAGTGAATTATTACAGAGATAATAATTCATTGAGTTAGAAGGAGTTCTGACAGGTATGACTCATGGCCAGCTCGATATTGGGCCTAGAGGGTCACACACATATGGTAGGCATTATGATGAGTAGAGGTTCAGATATGAGATATCCGACGGAGCCCTTGTCTTATTGGATGCAGATCCAATGCCCACTAGGGGAGGAGGACCCATTAGGGTCTGACAGGGGACCTCTATAAATAGGAGGGATTCAGAGCCTCATAGGCTAGAGCCTTTGCTTGCCTCTCCTATTCTCCTCCCCTCTCCACCTCAGAGCAGGCCTGGAGTTTTGAGGAGCGTCGTCGCAGCCCTGCTGTGTGGATCACCGCTAGAGAGGAGGATGCTTGACCTCCTTCACCCTCTCCTAAGGATCTGCAAGGAAATAGGGATATACGATCTCCCTAGGTAACACAATCTATTCTATACGCAGTTTTAAGTTTCGCGGATTTTGCACACCAATCTTCGCACGACGACGAACATCTCTTTGGGAATCGGGGATTTTGTTTTCTTGTTCTTCCGCTGCGCATGTGATGTCACCCCCAAGATTACCCAACAGTTTTCCTCCGGGCCAACATATTCTTCCTGCTTTAATTGTCTCTTCCTGATCAAAGCATCATATGTCACTCAAAACGTAGATTAAATCATAAACACTTATCAATTAGTTTTATCATCAAAATTCAAGATTCAACAATATCTCTATTTTTTATGATGATAACTAATTGATGACGGAGTTAACCTTAACTCCTGGAGTTTAAACAAACTCCTGGAGTTTAATCGAACTCCCCCTATCAATATGCCATATTTGAGTTGAAATCTTGGATTAAAAAATCCAAGCAACATGTCATGATAAAATCATGCATAACATCAACATACTTCTCCCCCTTTGTCATCAACAAAAAGGAGAAGTTCAATTATCAAGTATTTTAGACATACTATCAAACATTGCATTTATCATCATGCAATTTGTAAGCTTAAAAATTTAGCAAGTGCTACATCAAGTAAGCTATCAAGTTTTAGATATACAAGATAGTAAGATAGCAAGTTTATACAAGCTAGCAAAAATTTTGAAAGCAAATGCAAGATAGCTTTCTTGTTGAAGTGTGTAAGCTAGCGATTCTTGCTTTCTATTGCAATGTGCAAGTTGCATGTTTTGCTTCTTGAGATTGGCAAGATAGTGATGTTGAAGATAGCAAGCTCTTCTCTTTTGAGAAATGCTATTTTTGCTTCCTTTAAAAAGTGCAAGCTAGCAAAATTTTACATTATTTTACAACAATCAAGCTAGCAATTTGGCAAGTGTTACTTCTCTTTGAAGTATGAAGGCTAGCAAGTTTTTGAAAAATAATGCAAGATAACAAGTTAGCAAGATATAATGTTTTATATGAAGCAAGCTATATGAAGTACGTTTGCATCTTCTCTTTAGATGTGCAAGCAAGCAGGCAAGTTTTTGTATCTTCTTGACTTGTGCAAGATAGCTAACAAGCTAGCTATCTCCCCTTTTGTCATTGTTAAAAAGAAGAGAAGAATATAATTTTATATTTTTTTTCCCTTTACATCAATTTCTAAACCATGACAAAGGTAAATAGCATAGATAAAAATTCAAGTCATGAATGTCAAAACAATTTTTCATCATGAATATTTCTAAAATATAAAATGTATGATTCTAAATCATCATTCAATATTTCAATCATAAAAAATGAAAGATCAGATCTAAAATTCAAGAGATCAAGATCATAATCCGAAAAATATATAAGAAGAATTTATATATTTGGAAGATTTAACATGTCTAAGTTTATCATTTAAGTTAGCCATTTTCTTTCTCCTCTTTGTTATTGTAAACAAGAAAGAAGTAGAGTATAAATACATGTTAGATCTTACACATCAATGCTCTACTTATTATATGAGATTTACAACTACAAATACAAAGGAATTTGCATATCATGTCATGAAAGATAATAATATCAAATCATGAATGTCACAATATATGATTTATTTAATTATTTTTTTAAATAGCAAAAAGAAATATAGGTGATCAAATGATACAATATTTTAATTCATGCATAAGAAATCTCAAGTTATAAATCTTGAAAAATCAAGATAAAGCTCGTTCAAATTCAAATCATCAAATCAAAATCATTTTCAAGAGATTCTAAGAATAAAGATAGGTTCATTAGTCTCTCCTTTTTGAAAAATCGATAAAGTAGAGAAATTTTTTAAGGAGAAAGCTTTCTTCTTTTTAGTGATTCAATTCATAAGATTGATTTCATAGATGCATGCCTTTTTCATTTTTTCCAATTAAAAACATGATCAATGTTTAGGATTAAAAAGTAAATTTTGTCATAAAAACCATCAAGACCAAAAAAGTATAACATAATAAACATAAGGTTTCTTTAAACAAGAGATTTGATTTATCATTTTAATTCTAATGATAATATATTTACCCTTTTATATGTTTCATTTTAAATGATTGATTTTATATAAGCATACATCAACATTTAAAACAGAAAGATAAAAAATCATCAAGATCAAAAAGTGTAACACATAATTCCAAAACATATGGTTTCAAATCATTATTTTAAGTCCTTATGCATAAAAATCATCAAACATGATACAAATATTTATTTTCAAAACATTCACCATGATAAGGCATACAAGCTAAAGAAAAC